CGTAAAAAGACAGTATAAGTCATTATAATCCGTAATTATGTCCCCACTGGATGCAACGAATGCCTCGTTTATAATGGGTTTTAATGTTTTTGTCTCGTCGCTCCGGCCGGACAGGGCATCACAGTATGGTAGGGGCGTAACATTTCCGTCACACGCTTGAGGTATTCGGCCAATCACAACGCACTGGATAGCTGGCCAATTAGAGCACAGCTCGCTTTTCAGAGTGATGAGCTTTGTAAAAATCGACGCGTTTCAGAAAGGCGGGGCATAGAGGAGAAACAATAATGTACAGTATGTGGAAAATAATGTGTTTTTTGAACCTTAAACCGCATAAACACATTGCATTACACCAAATACACAAAATAATGTTCTTTTTAGCAGCATCATATGACCCCTTTAAAACATAACATTTACATTCAACCAGCCGTGCTGGCGAATGAATGTCATTAATTAATTAATTATTAATTAATTAATAGGGGGTGCAAATCTGTATTACGAGTTATCAAATTGAGTTATTAGAATGAAACTTTGTCAAATAAATCGTGTTAACCTATTTCAAAAAGCAGGCACTGAAATTGTAATTTCAAATCTTTTTGCACATCATAATGTTGTGTTTCTATGTTTATTATTATACCTTGCTGCTAACTTGTAAACATGCAAATACTCAACTACGGATAAGCAAATTCTCCTCTACTAAACCACACATACCTGTGCCATCATCTCCCATCAATCCCATGAACCCACCAGGACATTTATTAGGAGCTGCACCGTATCATACAGGGTTTAAATTGCAGTAGTCTGATCCTCAGAAGTACAGTATGTACTTTCTCCACCACCAGAACACAATTCTAGTGTACTACAAATACAAGAACTGGGATGCAGCCAGGATGTAATACTTCACTTCAGAAATGACATACACAGTCAGGCAATTTTCCATGCAATTCTTCACATAAACCACTCTCATTTCACATAGTACATCACATGTAAATTGTTTCAGTTATCTCTGTTAATCCAGATGTGTAAACTTTCCATACGTACGGTATGATAACACTTCTGCATCTGCAGTTCATCAGTCTAAAAGGAATTTGTGCAGAAAGGTTTTATGTCATGAGCTGGTGAGACAGAAGAACAGGTTAGAGAAATGTTTAAACAACCGTCCAGATAAAATACTGCTGAAAAGCGTCAAATATTAAAACTGTAATTGAAATCTGATCAGCAGTTTTTTAATTGGTTAGTCTAATAAATCTAAAGCGAATGAGAATTAAAGGGCTTATTTAATACAATGTGTTGTAGGACGTGAAGTATTTATATGGAATACAGATGGTCTTAAATGTTTACCATTAATAAGACCATCTGTATTCCATATAAATGGAATACTGTATTCATGACAAATACTTGTAAGACAACTGAGGACATTTTATGTTTGCAACTAAAATAAGCAAATTAATCTTTTCCGTTTATGACAAAACTTAAGAGTTTAGATTAGAGATGAACATTTATTAAATATTGAATTTAATACCCACTATTTTATAAGTAATAAGTAAGTAAATAAGTAAATAAATAAATTGGAAGTGATTTGAAATTTATTAGTAATCTTAATAAATAAGTAAATAAATCAATAAATAAATAGGAAATGATCACAAATGTACAAATAATGCTATAAAAAAAATAATAATTAAATAAATGGGAAGTGATTGCAAATGTATTAATAATCCTAATCAATTAATTAATTAATTAATTAATTAATAGGAAGTGATCCCAAATAAATGGATTTGATTAGGCATTAAAAATAAAACTTTAGATAGATAGATAGATAGATAGATATCACAAATGTATGGTAAGTAATCCTATTAAATAAATAAGAAAATACATACATGAATGGTAACTGATCCCAAATGTATGCATGGTGATCGTATTTATTAAATAAATTAATATATAAATTTGATCCTGGATGCTGTCATACTGTCCTAGTTCTTTTTAAAACATGATTTGCATGCCTAGTTTTTCCGTGAAGGCGACGCCTACTCACAGTATAGTACTAATTCACTGGAAGTACCTGAGAACGGCATTCACCTTCTTTAGAAAAATGATACTTTAGCATCTACCATGGACCAGAACGCTTCTGTAAACGGGACTCTGGAATCTGGGATCTGCCTACATGGAAACGCAGTGGAGCGGTACATGTACCCGACGGCTTACTCGCTGTTCTTCCTCATTGGATTTCCAGCAAACTGTCTGTCCCTGTACGTGGCCTGGGTTCTGATGAAGAAGGGCAATAATTTGGCGGTTTATCTGATTAATTTGTCAGTCGGAGATCTGCTGTATATCCTAACTCTACCCGTTTGGATCGTGATGGCACTCGGCTATGCGCTGAACGACAGTCTGTGCAGCATTATAGCGGTGGTCATGTTCAACAGCTTCTACGTGGGTTCAGGCTTTCTGTGCTGCATCTCTGTGGACCGATATTTAGCCATCGCGTTTCCGCTGCATTTCGCACGTGTGCGAGAGGTCAGAACCACCGTGTTGGTGAGCATCATCGTATGGCTGGTAGAGATCGTGCTTCATGTGGGTCTTCTAACATACACAGAGGCGATCGGGAACTTTTCTGCCAGTCGTATGTGCGAGGAGCCGATGATAATGAGCCCCGCCGCTGCAAACGTGGCCATGGCACGTGCGGTCCTGGGATTTCTGGTTCCTGTGCTCATTATGAGCTTCTGCTTCGAGGAGATCATCAGGGCGCTGAAGAAAAGCACCTCTACTGTGGTCAGCGAACGGAGAAAGATCTGCCGCCTTCTCTTCTCTCTCCTTTTCACCTACTTGTTGGCTTTTACGCCCTTCCAGGTGGTGATGTTCATCAGAGGACTGCTGGAGCCTGGAAACTGCAGCGTCGCGCACAATCTCAGAGATGTTTACATGGTTTTTGTGGCCACAACGACAATAAACAGCGTTTTAGACCCCATCCTTTATTGTCTCATAAGTGACAGTGCCAAAAATGAAATGAAAAGACTTTTTAAGCTCTGTGAGGAGCAATTCAGTAAGATTTACTCATCTGTGATGAAAGCCTGACATTCTGAATGTTATTAACAGACTGAATATGTTTCTCATGATCCTTAGCGTGTAAAATCGGACTTGGAATTATAGTCAGATTTTTTTTTTTTTTTTTAATGGAACAGTTTACTGAACCTTTTTTGAGTATCATATTTGATACATCAGGCTTTTATGGCTCATATAACATGATATTGTTATAATAGACTATGGAGGAAAAAAACAGCTTAATTTTATTTCAGAGACTCAAACTGAGCAAAATATGCAATTTGGTGTAATTTATATGATCAAAAAAATTCTAATGCTTGTAATGTAAATCAATGAGATCTTTCTGACAGTATAGTGGATACTTACATAAAATTATATAAATATCAGTGGTCACTCTATATCTCCAATAATGTCTTCGTAAGATGAGACTGAAATGATCCAAACATATAATGCAGTGATTGAGAGCTGAAGAAATAAAGGCTCCTCAGAAGATGTGAGATGTTCTGGAGGCTTGTGAAGATCATTCCTCCGCTGAGGAACAGTGAAAGTAAAGCTTCTGGAAACAAACGCTCCTCAAAAGATCCTGAGGATCAGATTTGAGACTCTAAAACATGATTGATGGAGAATCAAGTAAAGCTGAGCTGCTTCAGTCCAGTAAGCGTTCATCTGGAAATATGACTAAAGTTATTCTTACATTAACCTGATAAAAATCAGTAAACGACAGCAGAAAGACACGTGAGGCACCAGCTGGTGGACGTTTGTACAATTACACTAAAAAGGACATTTCCTTGATTACTAAGTCAATCAGATGACAGAAGGCATGGAGCAGATGGATTTTCAGCAACATTTTTATCATTTACAGGCCTTACATATTTGTGTATCAAATATGATACAGTAGCTTCATAGGGTTAAAAACCTAAAGGCTTCTTTTTAAAAAGGTTTGTGTACATTTGTTTCCAGGAAAGAAAAGAGAGTTGTGAAACATATCTTATCTGCTGCAACAAACATGCAAAGCTGTTATTGAAATATTGTCTGTGGTTTCTGAAAGATGTTTGACTTCACCTGTTCATCTGGCAGAAATGCAAAACAAACCACTGCTATTAAAACACTTGATGGAAAGAGGAAATGGCTCACCTAAAAGGAAAGTTCTGTCATTATTCACTGTTGCTTAAACCCATAAGAATTTCTTTCTTTCTACTAACACAAAGAACACAGACAATGGGAAATTTAGCAAAATGGTCATGTAGCTTGTTTGACAATGACTTTGCTTTACTTAAACTAGGGATGTAACGATTAACCGCGAGCCGGTTGAAAATCGATTAAAATATGTGACGATTCAAATCGGTTGAGATAGCGGAAACCAGGAAACGCTTTAAGCGCCACCTGCTGGCAGAAAGTGAATCTGCGTCTCATTCAGCTCGTCTGCTGTTTCTGTTTCATGCAGATATTTTTTATGTATAACTGAAGTCAAACTATTCTCTTTTTGCTTCAGATTTCAAAATTATACAATCTAATTTAGATTAAAACTGCTCATGTTGCATGTATGCAGCATCTTTGTTTGGATCGTGATTAAAATGCAGTGGTTGCTTCTCATTTTAAATGGAAAGAGCACAGACAAAGCCTTATTTTTTTATATGAAGAGATTTATTTTATTTGTGTTACTTATTTATTTGATTTGGGGCTTGTTTTAAAATTTAGTTTTCTTATTTACATTCACATTATATTTAAATTTTGTTATTTAGCAGACGCTTTTATCCAAAGCGACTTACAAATGAGGACAACAGAAGCAATCAAAACCAACAAAAGAGCAATAATATGCAAGTGCTATATTAGTATATTATTATAGTGTTATA